AATGCTCAGAACCCGACTCCTTAACAAAACCCTCTAAAATTCTCTAACACTGTCTTATTCCCTGCCGAGCTCTCCCAGGCCTCATGCCCCTACCCCTGTCTCTTATACACATCTAGATGTGTATAAGAGACAGCCTCTGCCTTGCCCGTAACATTTTCCGTTTGTTACTTCTCATTTTAGTCGCTTTTTTTTTTTTTTTTTTTTTTTTTTTTTCTTCTTTTTTTTTTTTTTTTTTTTTTTTTTTTTTTTTTTTGGTTGCCCATCTTTTGGGGAATACCGGTCGTTCGTCGGTGGGTACCCCGTCCGACACGGTGCGTTAACGGCCGTGTCGGCTTTTTCAAGCTTTGTGAGGTACTGGTGGTTTAAAGCACCAGTACATGGGCACCTGGGCCGCGGGCCTGACACCTCAAATTCTGGAGGCGCGAAACGAAACCGCGACCGCTGATCTGATTTATCAATGGCGGGCGCAGCGTTTGACATTTCGGCCTCGTTTTCTTGTGGCGACAAGTTTCGGACTGCAAGGCTGGGGCCGTGTACTGGTGGTTTAAGGCCAATAACTAAACTGTGGGGAGGTGCAGTCCTGAATTCCTCTTGATTCTGACATACTGCCAGCTCGTCACTGGTGGTCCCCCCTGCCGTATTACGATTCTGAGTGTCCAGCCCTACTGCAATGTGTATCTGACTCACCCCCTGCTCATCGACCCTGAGGCCTGGACCCCATTGGCCGACGGCTGGAAAAGGTACTTGGCCGCCGGTTTGTGGCCAACATCGGTGGAAAGGAATTGGCACGTTTTGACATTACCCCACCGTCGATTTCTGGCGGGGCTTTGGAAACGGCCAGGCTTGCCGCATTAGGAAACCGGAGAGGGGCCTCTCCCGAAAAGGAAGGTTCGGATGGCCTGCATGGACCAGCGGACATGCAAACCACCAACGGCCCATTTGGACGAGTCGTGCGATACGCACTTCAAGCGCTGTGTTTCGCTCTGGTCCAGCCTCAAGTCCATGACGCCCGTGAACTGCACCACACCTTGCTGGCCCCCGATGCCAACGGCC